ATTAACACCAGATTGTTAATAACTAAAAATATTGTCCACGATAAGTATTTTATATTTGAACGTGTCCAATTAACAGCAAAATTTTTTGAACATTATATATATATATATATATATATATATATATATATATATATATATATATATATATAATCGGGGCGGGGCGAGGATAACCCACTCCCTGCCCCGAACCCGATAACGACCCGTTACCCGCCCCGAAATGATCGGGTTCGGGTTTTTTTGCCATCCCTACTAAAAACCTAGGATTTTCTAGTTTTTTAAAAGCTTTACTTTTTCCTATCTAAAAAGCTGATTTAAAAAACGTTTTTTAAATAGACAAACACTTTTTTAGCTTATTAGCTTTTTAAAAAGCTATAAAGCTAATAAACTTTTTTTAAAAGTTATCCCAAACACCCACTACGTATGAAATCCGTGTATTACACGAGTTGATTTAAAAAAAATTAAACATTAAATTAAAGTATAAACAGAAAATATTTTTTAATGTACAACTTTAAAATAAGAGAAGAAGAAACATATTTATTGCAATTTAATATATATATATATATATATATATATATATATATATATATATATATATATATATATATATATATATATATATATGATATTTAATACTTTACATATATAACTATATGACTTTAATTTTAACAAATGAAACAAACCAAAAATTGACAAATGTATAATATTTATTTCAAAAATACTATAAAATGACAAGTATCAAAACTCATGAGAGATTGACATGTGGTAAAAAATATCTTCATTTACTAAAAAGGATATTAAGCTGTTTTTTTTGTATGCTCTTTAATATATATATATATATATATATATATATATATATATATATATATATATATATATGTGTGTGTGTGTGTGTGTGTGTAATGTTAATTATAGAACTATCAAAATTGACTTCATTGTGATTAAATAACACATTTTTCTTTCATTTTTAGTTTCTTCCTATTGCCTTTTAACTCATATTATATTTGATTTCCTTATTCATCCCCAATATCTATCTATTTCAAATGTATTTTTTATTAGACCTTTAATAGGTTTCATAACATCCTTCACTGCCTATCTTATGTATCCTTGTATGGTTTTTCTATGACGGCTTATGAAAAGAGGTTTAGTGGATTTTTTTTAATGAATAATTCCGATCTTTCAATGTAGTTTTCTGTATTAAATTTCAATTTGGAGACCTACAAGTAGTTGGTAAAATATTCTTATATATGGTTTTGGTGCTAAATTAAACTTATAAAATTTCATAAAAATATATATCAAGCTTAGCATAAGCTCTAATAGAGGATGCAAGAAAGACGGTAGATAAATTTGAATGCATTTTGTTAAAATTATATAGTTTTTGATGGTTATATATATATATATATATATATATATATATATATATATATATATATATATATATATATATATATATGTTCAGGTTCATTTGAGACCATTCTAATTTTGTGAGACCGTGAGACCAAATCTAAAAATAATTTTAAAATGCAAAATAAATGGAAAAATCCAAAGATTCTTTTTTTTTAAATATTATTTTCGGAACTTGAATTAACTAAAAATAAATAAAAATAAAAATCCGTTGTTTTTTTAAAAATAAGTGAAATATTCTAATAGAATATTACACTGACATATTCTAAAAAATAATTTTAAAATGCAAAATAAATGGAAAAATCTAAAAATTCTTTTTTTAAATATTATTTTCGGAACTTGAATTAACTAAAAAAAATAAAAAATAAATAAAAAAAATTCTATTTTTTTTGAAAAATACGTGAAATATTCTAAATAGAATATTATACTGTACATATTCTAAAAATAATTTTAAAATGCAAAATAAGTGGAAAAAATCAAAAAATTCTTTTTTTAAATATTATTTTCGAAACATGAATTAACTAAAAAAAATAAAAAAAATAAAAAAAAATAAAAAAATGCGTCTCACGGTCTCACAAAATATAGGTGGTCTCAAATGAACCTAACCTATATATATATATATATATATATATATATATATATATATATATATATATATATATATATATATATATATATATATATATATATATATATATATATATATATATATAGTCTTGTTCGAAAGGAAGTCAGTTGTTTGTTTTCCCGTTAAGTTCTCATATCGTTTGTATAACCAACTCTTGACTTTGTATAATAATTTCCTCCAAAAAAATCTCATTCAACACAAATGATTAATTTATATAATAAATATATAGTTGTACTAAAAAAATAACATATTTTAAATTATCATTAACTGTAAAAAATAGTACACTAGATTTTTATTGCAAGTAAATTGTTATTTATGAAAATATGATAACATTAATTTCTATAAAGTTTGATGAATATGATTTCATCCATTATTTGCTACACTATTCTATATTTATTAGAATTTAACATTATTTATATTTGATAATGTTATGACTTATCAAAGTTTTTTTTATCTTTTTAATTTAGTATACATTTTTTTGAATTTCGATTTATAATTTATTAAAAATGATGTAAATACTGTTACAAGATTTATTATTTTACAGAAAAGTGTATGATAAAGTATTGATGGTTACATTCAACCCACAGAAGGTGGAGTCGAAATTTCGAGCTGAAAAAGATGCTGAAACGTGAAAGAATATACCGTGGAAGATACTTAATTACAGTATTTGTTTGTTGCATATAAAATCTAAGCATCAGCGCCCCCAATATTTCCATCACCTTCCGGATGATCTTCAGAGAGACAAAAAGGTCTGTATCAATTCATTATTTACTTCGAAAATTCCCTTTCATCGTTTTCTGTAATTTCTTTTGATTCTACTGGACAGTTTTAGTGTTCATTTTTTATTTCTTATTATTTTATTGAGCATTGACATGCATGCATGCATGAATCACAAGCACACACTTCCTCTGTTTTTTTTTCGCACGGAAACTTGATTTTTGTTAATGGCGATTTTTGGTTCTTTCGAAGATGATTATGATGTTAGAGATCTTCGTAATATATGATAATAATAACTGTACTGATTTGAAGATCAAACCAAATGTTGAAATTATATGGATTGAATGCATGAACGATTAATGGAGATGATTGATTCATGTGATCCACGAGTTATGTGGTGCATAGAAATTTGATTTTAATTATTGGCGAGTTTGAGTTATTTCGAATATGATTTTACAGTTCTTCGTATTACTTGATGAATCGCACCTTTACTGATCAGTTGGAGACGATTGATTCATGAAACTAATGAATTCCCTACGTATGTATGATTGCAGAGTTTGACGAGATCTGTTGAAGAATTAGGGTTTTTGGAAACCGGAGAAGTTTCCGGAAGTAATTAAGAAAAATGTCGACAGCTGGAAATTTGAAAGTTCTGAATGCTCTGGATGGCGCCAAAACTCAGTGGTATCATTTCACAGCGATAGTGATTGCAGGGATGGGGTTTTTCACGGACGCCTACGATCTCTTCTGTATCTCTCTCGTAACCAAAATGCTTGGCCGCATTTACTACACAAAACCAGGTTCACCGAAGCCTGGAAGCTTACCACCAAATGTCTCCGCCATGGTCAACGGTGTAGCCCTCACCGGAACCCTCGCCGGTCAACTATTCTTCGGGTGGCTCGGGGATAAGCTCGGAAGGAAGAAGGTGTACGGAATCACACTCATGCTCATGTGTCTCTGCTCTATAGCTTCCGGTTTATCCTTCGGGAGCTCTCCAAAATCAGTGTTGACCACTCTCTGCTTTTTCCGGTTCTGGCTCGGGTTTGGGATTGGTGGCGATTACCCGCTCTCCGCCACCATAATGTCGGAATATTCAAACAAAAAAACACGCGGTGGGTTTATCGCGGCGGTTTTCGCAATGCAAGGGTTTGGGATTTTAGGAGGTGGTGTGTTCGCCATTATCATTTCATCTGTGTTCAATTCAAGTTACAAAGCTCCACCGTATGAAATCGATCCGGTGAAATCAACAGTTCCTGAAGCCGATTATGTCTGGAGGATCATCTTGATGGCTGGAGCTCTCCCGGCTCTCCTCACTTTCTATTCAAGATCGAAGATGCCGGAAACCGCCCGTTACACCGCCCTGGTGGCCAAGAACGCCACCAAAGCCGCTTCCGACATGTCTAAAGTGTTGAATGTTGAAATCGAATCCGATCAACAGAAAGTAAACGCAAAATCCGACGACGACTATGGGCTTTTTTCTAAAAAGTTCCTTAAACAACATGGGAAACACTTGCTTGGAACCACCACCACTTGGTTTCTACTCGACATCGCTTTCTACAGTCAAAATCTTTTCCAAAAAGACATATTCACCGCTATCGGGTGGATCCCACCAGCAAAAACAATGAACGCGATTGAAGAAGTTTACAGAATCGCAAGAGCTCAAACACTAATCGCGCTTTGCAGTACTGTTCCCGGTTACTGGTTCACTGTGTTCTTGATCGATAGGATCGGAAGATTCACGATTCAGATGATCGGGTTCTCCATGATGACCATATTCATGTTCGCGTTAGCTTTCCCTTACGACCACTGGACTCGCCCTGAAAACAATATCAAATTTGTTGTCATGTACTCCTTCACTTTCTTCTTTGCCAATTTCGGCCCTAACACCACCACGTTTGTGGTCCCGGCGGAGATTTTTCCGGCAAGGGTGAGGTCGACCTGCCATGGTATCTCAGCTGCATCGGGGAAGCTTGGGGCAATGGTGGGTGCTTTTGGGTTCTTGTATTTGGCTCAGAATCAAGATCCGGCCAAGACAGATGCGGGTTATCCACCGGGTATTGGAGTGAAAAACTCACTGATTGTGTTGGGTGTGGTTAACCTTTTGGGAACTTTGTGTACTTTGTTAGTCCCAGAATCCAAAGGGAAGTCGCTTGAGGAAATCACCGGTGAGTCCAAGAACGAAACCAATGATTCACGGGCTTAGGTAGAGTTGTATGTATCGGCCTATTAAGTACACCATTAATAACATTCCTCCTACCTTTTTAGTTTTAAAAAATGTAACTTCCGTGTGACTGGCACGTTAGTCCGATGAATGCAAAAGAGTATAACTACAAGCTGTTTTATTTTGTCATCTTCTGCTTAACAAACTACATAAGACAACCAATATACATAAAAAAAAACTACACAATACAACCATGCATATTTGTATAACGATGTGTTACAAACTACACGAGAACCACTAAAAGGCTAGCTTAAAAAGTGCATAAAGAAAAATCAGTAGACGCGTTCTCTAAGCACATCGAGCTCCATTTCTGTAGAATCAGTAGCCTGAATCTCATAATGAACGCCATCTAAGTCGTGTCTGAGGCGGCCTTTAGATGTTGCATACAGCATTTTGGCACGGATCCGAGAAGATTCTGGTGACCTAGATTAAGACAACATGCAATTAAGTTAGGGATACACACAAATCATTACAAGACAAAACAAAACAAAACTGTATCTTGTTTGAATAAAATATTATCCAAGTCTACATGTAACAAGGAAAGCTAATAACCAGGCGATGAAGAATATCTTGCTCTTTTGACAGTTATCGGAAGTCACGAAGTCAAAGTCATAAACGGCATATCTGCAATCGTTTTCTGGCAAGGCTGATGTGAAATCTTCGTAACTCTCAGCAGGGCTGCCTGTTTTTTCAACAACAACTTGGTTTTTCTTCTCATCGATCTTAAAGATTACATACCGGTGAGCCTTTTTCCTTTGTAGTTCCAGAAACGTGCCTTTGCAGTGCTCAGCTACACCCATCCCAGAAGAAGCATTCGACTGTGAATCAAACACCGTATACATAAGAACCTTAGAATCAGAAACAAAAACTAAAAGAAGGAACCCGGCGGACATTTCGTCGAACACCTTGAAGGCATCCTACTGATTCTGTCTATCAATCCAACAGGTTGATACGGTTGTGGAGAAGATTTGCCAAGTTAAGAGTGAACAGAGACCATACATGTTACACAAATAGCAATAGCAATCCCGGCGGTGATTTCGAACGGAATAGGAAGTCGAAATGCAGAATCGACCATAATCTCGGAAGCACAATAACATAATAACAGATAATAGAAAAAATATTGGATCAATACGTACCCCTCCTCGGAATCTAAACGACATGATTGATCTTCGATGCGAATAGCTATAGGCTCCACAAATTGCAGTATCAAGAAGTCGGAGATCACCGTAAGAAAAAACAGGAATGAGGATTTATAAGTGGAGAAGGTAGTGCATACGAAAAAGGATTCGGGAAGGAAGGTGGGATTCCGGTTCGAATCGATTTAGATCGGTGCGTTAACTCAACGCAACTTTGCCAACTTTTCCTTTCGTGCGTGCCTGTGTGGGTTCCGGAGTCCGGACTTCCGCTTCTTAAACCGTGAAACGGCAACTAGTTTCTGCAATCTCAATATTCATTTTTGTTTTTTGTTTTTTATGTACATAAACAACAAACGTTTTTGAATTTCTATTTTAGTAAAAAAAAAAAACGGTCTTTTTTTTTTATTTTTTATTATATGCTTTTTAATTAATGTTATTTCACTTGTAGATTTTTTATTTTTAAATTTTAATTTCTAGGTATATTAAATTAATAATATTATAACAAAAATCAAAATAAAATTAATAGAGATTATAAGGTGATATAATGTTACGTATTTATTTATTTAAATCAACGATTATAATTTTATTTAACCAAAAAAATATCTTTTAATTAATAATTTATTTTAAATAATTGATTTTTAATTTTTAGTTTTTACTATAAAAATTTAATTAATTTTGTAATCATGGTTTTCTTAGGTCATAAACTAGTAAATTATCTTTAATTCTTTGTTTGCAATGTTTACACAAATAATTTACACTTAAGTTAATAGTTTACTAAGTTATGAGACATGTATTACATGAGCTTTTATATATATATATATATATATATATATATATATATATATATATATATATATATATATAAATTTCAAAATATTTGAGATGTTTGAATTTATAAGAAAATGAGAAAAATATTAAATTATTAAAATTAGAAATTTTTTCTCTTTTAGATTTAAACAAATAATTTACATAAATAAACAAAGAAAATTAATGGTTTTTTAATTTATGAATTTTGAAATTAAAATGTATGGGTATTAATAAAACTAATATTCATTTATTGTTATGTTTATTGCAAGTATTATATTTAAATATTATATATAATTTAATAAAATAAAAAAACCATAAGATTACATGTGGAAAAATATTAATTTAAAATAACATGTGAAAAAATGATTAAGGATATGTCATGTGACAAAAAAAAAAATTATTTATTAGAATAGATGAATAAAAGAAACCTATGCCCGATATAAAAAATTGACGAATAGATATCTTTTAATTAAATGTTAAAGATTTTAATTTTTAACAGATATAAATTTAAAAGTAAAATAGGAGTCCAGTAAACTTGATGCCTAGGTGATGAGAATACATGAATGGAATGAAAATAGTAAAATCCAAAAACATCCTTTTGACACTTGTATTTCATGATTTACCTTTTTATATAGTAAAATGGAAACTGAACTAACATATTAAAGCGTACTAATGTTTACCGTTTTAATAAGAAATTTTTTTAAAATAAATGTTCTTTTAAAAATAGAATAATTAATAATCTCACATATTTCTTCTATGGCCATATTTTTAATAATTGACCCACTGAGAAATGGTGTGGCTAATTCGAAATACAAATTTGCTGGTATTCATTGTCGTTTTTTATCTTTCGCAATCCTCACTTCAAGTATGGTCCAACCATGCAAACTGAGGGTTGATTAAACAGGAAGTAGAACGAAGAATTGGATAATAACTAATAAGCAATGAGTAACATTTTTGCATTGGTCGCATGATAAATGGTGTGACCACTATGAAATTGTGAAATGAGGATATGATGTCGTTTTTATGTTTCAAAATCCCCATAGCAAAATAAGCGTTGAGTAGTAAGAAATTAGTATTGCCAAATGAGAGTTAAGAATGAGAATCGAACATTTAGTACCGGGATATTGTATCCGATATGATGTTATTTGTAGTATTTTGAGATTTTATTGTGTATGAAGTTATTCTTTTTATTCTTTGCATTGTGAAACTGTTTATATAATTTATGAAAATGATGATTTTTATTAACAATTGTTTTTAATTGTAAAGATATTCAATGACCATTTTTTGTAGCACAAAATAGCATCATATTACGAAAATAAAGTCTTTAAGTTGAAAAGTACTTTTGTAAATGAAATAGCGTGAAAAAAAAAAAAAAAAAAAAAAAAAAAAAAAAAAAACTTTTAGAAAAGACCGTAGTAAAGGTTATTTCTAGGAGGCACATCCTAAGATATTGATAATAGTGAGAAATTCATGAAATCTTTATCTATTTTTTTCGGTATATAATCAATTTATACATTTAATGATGAGAAGTTTAATGATAAAACGAGTCTAGCTATTTGTAGAAAGCTCAACTCATTAAACAAGTAAAACCCGAGCTTCTCCAGCTTTGAAATTAGCCTCAAAAGAAACAAAATTTGAGCTCGAACTCCTTGAATATAAACGAGTTGAACTCGGATCGAGCAATCTTTAATCTTTCAAATTCAGAGCATGTGATGATCTTTAAAGTGTTTATCAACTTCTTAATTCTTAAAAGAATGAGTTATATTTAGATAATAAAAAATTGTTTCAAATACCCTAATTTTTCTTTTACTACTTTATACGGTTGTCTCTCTTTATCTTTTCTCCAAACCATTAAAGGAAAATGACTCTTGAGGGTAATTAACTTTTGCGTTTGTACTCATTTGATCCCTTTTTTTTGTATTCAATATACCATCGAACTTGTTTGTTTGTGTTCACCATAACCCTTTTGACCGACTTTTGATCTGTGATAACCGGTCAAAGGGTTATGGTGAACACAAACAACAAGTTCGATTGTATATTAAGTACAAAAAAAGGAAATGGACCAAATGAGAAGAAACTTAACAGTTGGTTACCCTCCTTAGTTATTTTCCCTTTATTCTTTACAACAAATCTCACGTCATCTCCTACTGATATTAATGACTTTATGAGATTCATTCTTACTTCTCTTCAAAACATAACCCACGAAAGAACAATATTCATACACGTACAGCTTTGTAATGCACTTGAATATTTATTAGGGGAATCTTGACTAAGCAAGCGCATTTCATGACTACATTTACATTTCCAATCGAATGATTTATCGTATCATGGATTCTAGACAAAACTACAAACAAGTGGAATCATACGTGTTGTGATTTTTTAGTTTACTTAGCTTTAAAATCGAATTCATGGGATGAGATACAACATCAATATGTACAATATCATGCTGCTTTTGCAGTCACATCACCATAATATACCTTGAGGTAAACGTTTATGCTGATAAATATACATCTCATACACAATCATATCCTTTTGAAGAGAGGTGTTGACAGCTAACCACAGTAAGCATAACATAAACCAAATTTTAATGAAGTTATCCATCTAAAACGCTTTTCATATACGTTATAACCAAAAAAAGTTGCAGTCTTTGATAATTTTGTAACTTTAATTTCATTTAACTTTTCGGGGAAAATGGCTCAGGAGGGTAACCAACTGTTAAGTTTGTTCTCATTTGGTCCCTCTTTTTTTTCGTACTCAATATACCATTGAACTTGTTGTTTGTGTTCACCATAACCCTTTGACCGACTATCACATGGTCAAAAGCTGGTCAAAAGGTTATAGTGAACACAAACAACAAGTTCAATGGTATATTGAATACAAAAAAAAAAAAAAATAATAATAAAGAAACCAAATGAATATAAACATAAAAATTAATTACCCTCAAGAGTCATTTTCCTACCCTTAAAAATAAAGAATCTCCTAAAAATTTAGATTTTAAAAGTTTATGCCGAACAACCATGAGTTTAAAAAAAAAAAAAAAAAAAATCCTTTTAATTACGCATTACTCGTTTGTACAATTTGAAGGGGGGGAGAAAATGCAATTACTGTTTGTAACCTCTACTTTTTCTATGTTTCTACCAACTTTGGGGACTCCGAGGAGAACCAAAAGGGTTTTCTACAAAAACAAACCCAAGATCTCACACTGTAAATCGCAGTAAAAAACATGGAATCTGAAGGTATTCTTCATCTGGGGTCACTATCTTCTTCTGTTTTTCTTATTAAAAAATTTACAATCGGTATCCGATTTCTCTATTATAATATTCAATTTCGTGTTTAGGGCAACAACAAAACTCATCCAACCCATCAGCCGTGATCGCAGCTCTTCTATGTAAAAGAGCCAAACAACATGAAGAACTTCGAAGCATCGAAAAACAGGTTTCATTTCGGCCTAACGTTTCCTTGATCTTGTAATTTCATTAGTTTCTTGATTTCCGTCAACTGTCGTCACAATCTGCTTCCTTAAATTCGTTTATTAGGTCTTTTGTTAATTTTGATAGGTCCGTAGGTTTCTTCAATCTTTAAATTTGAGTTTCTGCTTTGTGTTTGAAGAAATTCACTGGTAACAAAAGAAAGTTTCAAGATTTTCAATCAATTACCGATTCGCAAATAGTTCACATATATACAATTGTGTTTTGGCATCCTCTAAAAAAGGAAAGTTTAAAGGTTCTTGGATCAACGGAGATAAAAGAAACAAAGATTCACAATTTCAGTTCTAGTGTATATTTTCAGTCTCTTTCTAATAACGAAAGTTTCAAAAAATTTCTAGGGTTACCAAAATCTTTAGGTTAAGAGACAGTAGTCTGGATGTTCCCCCTGCATTTCACAATTAGGGTTCCCTTCCTGAAAGCTCCAACAACTTACTTTCAGTTTCCTTTTTCAAGGACAAATGTTTTAAAATGAAATGTATGAGGACAATGTTGTATCTATATCCATATCCGTATCCGTATCTGATTGTGATGTTATATAAATTTCATGACAACTAAAAACCTAACTGTTTTTTTAATGTTTTGTTCAAGGTTTATGACATGGAAACAGCTTATCTACAAGATCCAAGCCAAAGTGGAAACGTATTAAAAGGTTACGAAGGGTTTCTGTCAGCATCTAAGAGCACTTCATTGTAATTCCAAAAACTACTCCCTTAACTTTCTTTGATCCATATCTTTATTCTCTACTATATACAATTACTATCTCATCGGTCCCATTAAAATTGCAACGAAAATTCAAATGTCTAAATTACCCTTTGACAAATGCAAAATAAAGACATCTTGTGGACCCATGTCAATGCTATATACATATTTGATGTTGGTAATGGGCAAATAGGTCATTTAATTGACTCGAGTTACTTGTTTCGATTTCAGCTACAAGCGGTCTAGGAAATTTCAGGTGGAAGATAGGCTCTTTTCACTATCTTCGGTCACCTCACAAGCGGTATTGTTTGTTTATATTTTGGTTATTTTTTCTTTAATAACTGCTCATATTGGCTCATCAACCGTTTTAATATATTATTATTATTATTATTATTATTATTTTAATGTGGCTTCTTAGACCGAAGAACATGCTGCAATGGGAGCTGCATCTGCGATGGGACCGTAAGCACCTTCTTCTGCCCTACTAATATACTGTGTTTGACATTCATTGAACTGAGACTGATATCAGTGTTGGGGCAAAATTGTAAATTTTGGGAATGTTTTATTTGGTCAGGGGAAAGCCGAAAAAGGGTAGACCGGGACCCAGGGATGTGAGAAGAATCAGGCAGTACAGTGAACCTGACTTTGACTATGAAGATGATCCTGATTTGATTTGAGATATTTGGTTTTATGGAGGCTTACAACTAGGTATGCTACAAGAGAAGGGATAAAGATATATAATAACAAAAGTTTGGTTTTGACGTTAATGGTGGATGAAAGATTGTTGCTCTTATGTATATATTATATATGCATATAAACATTTATGAATTTAGCGTGATGAACCCAAAACCTATATCGTGAAAGCTTACATTGCTCAACTTGTGAATGGTTGATCCATAATCCATTTTGATATTGATCCATGGGTCGGATTAAGAGGATGATTTATAATCCATTCTTGTTTGGAGTTGCACATTAGGCTCATATTCTTAGAAGGCACCTAATTTGTGGGCCTTTATTACAATTTCATCATCTGGTGTAAGAAAGAATTGACCTTCAACAACTTTAAATTTTAAAAAAATTGTATTCATTTTACATTGTAAGAAAGAAATCGAATTGCATAATTAGATTCAGAAAGAATAAGAAGTTTCAAAAAAGTTATAACTTACATTGTATTGAAGATGATCTAGAACTTCAGATTCATTGCATATGCACAGAATCAAAAGGAAAAAGATTATTTTCTAGAAGTGGTAGTATGATCTTGTTTTAGAATAAACCAAATTTTTATTATTTAATTATGTTGCGATAAACCAAGAAGGCTTGATCAATTTGTATCATAATATACGATGTCATTGTAGTCAAACATATATCAATTGCCTACTTCTTTAGCCGTTAGAAACTTAGATCACTTGATTTTTCGTCACATTAGTTGTTTTGAAAAGGGAAAATGACTTAAAAAGGTAATAATGTTTCAAAAACATTCAAAAAACACCATTATTCTTTTTTTAGTGAAAAAAATATCATGTTACCGGGTATTATAAGTTAGCCGGTTAAAAGATTTATGAGAATAATTGTGCCCTTACCCTTTGTTATTTCCCCCAAAATCAAGGGTTCTTTCCTTCTACTTCGTTCGTTCATTCTTTCCATAGAATCACAATGGATTTCAACTTCACAATCGAAGTAAATCATACAGGTTCGTTTGTCCCCAAACCAATTGTGTATTTCAATCCAGTAAAAATGGTTGTTAGCAATGTCGATTTCAGAAGCATGAGTTTCATGGAGTTCATCTCGTATGTGAAGAACTTGGTCAAGGATGGAACAATCAGTGTGTACTATTGTCTTCCACAACGTTCACTGAGAGATGGGTTAAGAGTCTTGGAAGATGAAAATGATTATGTTTGTTTCCTTGATGTTGGATATGAGAATGGGGGTATCATCAATTTGTACATTGATCACAGTCAATATCCAGTTATGGAGTGGATTGAAGAAGAGATAGTTGAAGATGGATCGATAGATGGTAATACGGATGATGATGATGATGTAGACTCTGAGCTTTCAGATGATGAGTTCGTGGAGCATGAGCTTGATGATGATGTGATACAACTACAACCATCTGATGATCCTCTCATTAGAAGAAAATTTTTCAAGCCTCCAAGAGTTGTGGATGATGAGAAAGATGATAAGAAAGATGTCAAGAAAAATCCTTATAAGTATCTAGTTCATGATCCTAACCAAAAATGGGATACAATGTTTCCAATCTTAGGTATGAAATTCTGTGATCGTTATGAACTTAAGCATTTGTTAAGCAATTATACTGTCGCTAATGGGTATAAACTTTGGTATGAAAAAAATGATTCAACTAGATTATTAGTTAGATGTTGCAAAGGTGAAGAGAAGTCTAAATGCCCTTTTACGTTGTGGGCAACTTGGATGAGTAAAGAAAGATCATTTCAGATTAAGTCCTTAATATCTGAACATAATTGTAGTAGGGCCTTCAATTTAGGTTCAATGGTCACATATAGTTGGATTGGAAAACAGTTAATAGAAACCATAATAGATAATCTAAGAATTAGTTACATGAAAATGGCAGCAACAGTCCTTAGAGATTTTAATCTAAAAGTTAGTTTTGGTCAGTGTAGAAATGCCAAAAAATTTGCAATGGATGAGATAGAAGGGAGCTTGGTGGCACACTATGAAAAGCTTAGGAGTTATGGTTTGGAGTTATTGAGGACTAATCCAGGTTCCACAGTGAAATTGGATGTGGATATCATGCCTGATTCTGCAGTCCATTTTTCTAAGATGTATATTTGCTTGAAGGCTGTGAAGGATGGTTGGATTGAGGGGTGTAGTAGAGTGATCGGTGTAGATGGATGTTTTTTAAAGGGACTTTGTAGAGGTGAGGTACTTTCAGTTGTTGGTATGGATACTAATAACCAAATGTATCCTCTAGCCTCGGATGTTGTACCAGTTGAAAATAAGGCAAACTGGAAATGATTTTTGGATCTATTACTTGAAGACATTGATATGGGACAAGGCAGAGGACTAACCATCATCTCTGACCAACACAAGGTACTCAACTGTTTTTTAAATACATTATTTCTATTTTATTTTTAATTTATAATGACATCAAAATGTTAATTAATAGGGATTGATTGAAGCAGTTAAGGAAAGAGTGTCAGAATGTGAGCATAGACAATGTGCTAGACATGTTTATGCCAACTTCAAGAAAAAATTCTTAGGAACTGAATACAGGAAATTTTTCTGGTTTGCTGCCAAGGCCACAACAACCACAAAATTTGAAGATATCATGAAGGAGATCAAACTGATTGACAGTACTGCCTATGAACACCTGAAGGAAAAAAAACCAAACACATGGTCTAGGGCATTTTTTAGGGAAGATAGTGGTAGTGATTCCATTGAAAATGATGTATCAGAGTCATTTAATGCAGCTATTGTGGAAGCTAGAAAAAACCAATAATAGCAATGTTGATAGATATTAGAGTATATGTCATGGAAACGATGTTTACTCATAAAAGGAAGGGACTGAAGTGGAACTTGGAGATTTGTCCCTCAATTAGAAGGAAGATTGAGGACATGAAGAAAATATAGAGGTATATATATATATATACACACACACACACACACACACTAACTTATATGTTACATTTCATAACAGGTTTTGGGGAGTAATTCCAAGTGGTTTTCATTAATATGAGAGTAGATGGTTGGATGAGGTGTATGCAGTTGACTTACATAAAAGAACCTGTGGATGTAGATCATGGCAGCTGACAGGTATACTATGTGTCCATGCTATTTCTGCAATCTTGTGCTTGAATGGGAATATAGAGGAGTATGTAGCAAATTGGTACACAACACAAATGTTTGGAAGCTGCTACAGGTATAATGTTAAGCCAATAAATGGACATGAAATGTGGCCAGCAAATGATATGAATACCATCTTACCACAAAAGCGTAGAAGAATGTCTGGCAGACCAAAGATAAACAGGAAGAAATGCATTTCAGAAAGAAGTGACAGACACACTGGTAGCAAAGTTGGGACCACTTCTAAATGCAGTTTATGTTCCCAACAAGGTCATAACAAGAGGAAATGTCCTATGAAACTGCTTAATGCAGTAGATGATTCAGATCTCTTTGATTACCATGAGCTATTTGAGGGTGAGGGACAGGGTCAAGGGCAAGGACAGGGAGAAGGATATGGACAAGGCCATGGGGAAGCTGAGGATGCTGGAGTTGATTTAGAGGAGGAAATTGGAGGTGATTCAGAGAAAGAAGTTGGAGGAGATTCAGAGGATGATTTAGAGGTGGAGGTTGAACAAGTGGTTGATGAAGAAGTGGTGAATCCTGGAAACCAGCATGTGGTTGCTCCATCTTTGAAAAGGAGAAAGTGTGGCCCTTCTCAAAGGAACACAAAACTTAGGTTGAGGAGGAAAGTGGTGACCAAAGATGATACAGGGTGAAGTCTTGAAAATCATCTCACACTCTTGGAACAGTAATGGGGACAACTTTTGTGAAGGATATCTTTTGTTAGCTTTTGTCTTTGTGATCTTTTGTTAGCTTTAGTGCAGGACATCTTTTGGTAGGGAATCTTTTGTTGGGCACAACTTTTGATGTCATGTTTACATTTAAGTCAAAAACTGATGAATGTGGTTTAGTGCAGGACATCTTTTGGTTAGGTGTAATGTGTCTTTTGATAACTTGTTTATATTTAATGTATGTGGTCCCACTTTGATAATGTATGTGGTTTGGTAATGCATGTAGTTAATATTTATGGACAAGGACAGGGACAAGGCCATTCCAATATGTGGTCCAACTTTTTCTTAATATATAAACCAAGAATCATTAATTCAATTTCAATAAACACAATGACTATTAATCAGGAATCATTAATTCCATTCATGTGTGAAGAATTAATATAAAGCAATAATCAATAATTCCATTCCATTTCAGGAATCACTTATTCCATTCCCGTGTGAAGAATCAATACTAACCAGGAATCATTAATTCCATTTCAATAAAACACAATGACAATTAATCAGGAATCATTAATTCCATTCATGTGTGAAGAATCAATATTAAGCAGTAATCAATAATTCCATTCCATTTCAGGAATCACTGATTCCATTCCAGTATGAACAATCAATATTAAGCAGTAAACAATAATTAAGCAGTAATCAATAATTCCATTCCATTCCTTTATCAAAACTAAATTAATTTCCATAAAACATTGAATCAATTCCAATACAAGACTTTTAATTAACCAAACTTTCTAAATACATTACCAAAGTCATTACATTACAATTTTCATTTCGTTTCAACATAACATACATAAAAAACATAACAAAGAACAACAACATACAACATTTGCGATTTCTATATTTCCTAGTTAATTTATCCAAATCTTTTCTGAAACTCATTGATTCTTTATCTGCCTTTATGTGTCCAAAAATTATTTTCCAATATTGATATCTTGACTTCATTGTTATCTTCTTTTATTAGTTCTTCATCTTGATCGACCCATTCCCAGAAATAACATTTCTTCTTCTTCTTATCCTTCAATATACATAATAAAATTCATATAATAAATTAAGTATGAAGGAGAAGTAGATGATAGATGCTAGAACCACTTACTAGTGAGTTACAATATACTCTGAACTTTCTACCCGGATTATTAGCCGTAGTTGAGGTCCAAACTTGGGAAGGCTTCTTACAGTGACAAGGGTGGGCATAATCAAATGTGCTCATGCTTTTGTAAATGTTCGAATTTGACTTAGAATATTTTGATGAACTTGAAGATACCATAGGAGCCAAAGGAGATGAAGATGGAACCCTAATTTGATGGATGAAGGTTATTAAAGCACGTTCAATAGTTGACCTATCTAAAAGGTGATTTGTATTTTGTTGGTATTTTTTGTACATAAATTTCATTTTAATGGAATTTTTTTCACTAAAAGAAGAATAATGATGTTTTTTGAACGTTTTTGAAAAACACAAAACGACAAAAGCCCCCCCCCCCCCCCCCCCCCCCCCCCCCAAAAAAAAAAAAAAAAAAAGATCAAACAAACATGAAAATGGAAAATTCAATAGAAAAAAAAACAATTTTGAATGTTAATTTATTTTTTTCGTGTGGTTTCAACTTTCAACTTTGGGCAAAAATCGAACATCAACACTTGCAGCATAGCATAGGTAGTGTAGGTGGGGTATACAAAGAAAGCCTCGTGATTTGCTCCTCCCTAATTCGCCGGCGTGACAGTCCGATCACATAGTTAGCTGCGGTTATACTCTTTGTTCTTCTTTCTCTCACATAGTAGCAAGAATTTGCTCCCTGTTCTTTTTCGATCAACCTCTTTCTTATGCTAATTCTTCTCTATACGTTGATAATTTGAACTTTGGGGGCTGGAAAAGATGAAAATGCAGAAGACCATGGCGCAAAATCCGTTGTCGGAAGACGTTGGTGCGTCTATATCATGGATTGAGACCTCCGACACCGTCTCCCGCCACTTCTTCTTTCAACCAGACGGCCAATTCTCCGTAAGTATTCAGCATAAGATAACACTAATCAAATTTTTACAATTAGGTTATTCAAAGTGCCATAATTTACAGTTCTAATAAATGTATCATCTGTTGCTTATCAATCTAAACTTTTTCATACCGCTTAACATCATAAAAATTGAATCTTATGGGATTTTTGTTTTTTAGGTGAAGGTGCTTGACGATTCAAGACCAGTTGTCCACAAAATGGCTGAATCCTTCGTCAACAAATTCTTCCCCTCTGGTTTTCCATACAGGTGAGTCGATGGAACTTAATTTCACATAAAATTTGTTGAAAAGTTTCATTTCTCATATCATGTAAATTCCACCATCTCTTCTTACTCCAGCGTCAACGAAGGATACCTTAGATACACACAATTTCGGGCATTACAACACTTCTCAAGTGCAGCACTATCCGTTTTATCAACTCAGGTCCTCTTCCAATACACTCCGTTTCTTAAATTCCATTTTCACATGATTCATTCCATTGTAGCAATACATAATCTTACCCCTTTGCAGTCACTTCTATATGCTGCAGGCTTAAGACCTACTCCTGCACAAGCAACTGCAGTTAGTTGGGTTAGAAACAACTTTTATATCTCAAGAATTTGATCATAACAATACTAGAAAAAAAAAAAAACTTCACACTCTTGATGTCAAACAGATATTAAAAGATGGAATGCAGCATATGGGAAAACTAATATGTAGCAATTTAGGTGCACTCATGGATGCAGAACCAAAACGGTGGAGAATTTTGGGTTTGTATCATTCTTTTTGTTCTTTGTTCTATATAACTTTGAAAGATATAACTTGAAGAAACTCTTTTTGATATGTAGCTGATGTGCTATATGACTTGGGCACTGGTCTCGAAATCGTTTCCCCATTATGCCCTCAACTGTTTCTTGAAACAGCTGGGCTTGGGAATTTTGCAAAGGTTAGTTGGTGGTGAATCAATATCAATATTCAATAATTATATAATAAATAACCCAAATTAATCAATTTTAAAAACAGGGAATGGCTGTGGTAGCTGCAAGAGCAACAAGATTACCAATTTATTCTTCATTTGCAAAAGAAGGAAATCTTAGTGACTTATTTGCAAAAGGAGAAGCCATCTCAACTGTGTTTAATGTGCTCGGGTTAGGTGCTGGGATCCAGTTGGTTTCAACAGTTTGTTCATCTATGCAAGGAAAAGTATGGTTAAGTTTTGAATTTACATTATTGCCCCTTTACTATATACGGGAAACAAATCTAATATCAGTTCTTTTTTGCTTTGTGCAGATGATTGTTGGGTCTCTGCTTTCTGTAATACATGTATACAGTGTATCAGAAGAAATGCGAGCTGCTCCTGTTAACACATTAAATCCACAAAGAACTGCAATGATTATAGAAGATTTCATTAAGGTTCATAAACAAGTGCTAAAAACTCTTTTATCATTATTTACGTTTTTTTCCTGTCTATTTTGCTAATGTTTTATACATTTCTTATTAAAATTTAGAGTAAGTTACATTTGTTGTCCCTGAGCATAGCTGATTTTATCCAAATTCAAAAATGTTAGGAAAACATCAAATAAGGACCAAAGTTGCAAAAGAAAACATTTTGGGAGAAAAATTGGAAAAAAAAAAAAAACCAAACTATACTCGGGATAAAAAATGTAATGTACTCTAAATTTTTTAGGAGGGGAGTTTGGGCGTGGGTTAACAAATAATAAAAAGTCAAAAAAAAAAAAAAAAAAAAGATAAGGGTGGGTGTATTTGTCACATTCTATATCAGTTATGGACCAAAACCTCAACAAGTGAAAAGTTTCATTTAGGGACGAAATATGCAAATTTGAGTAAAGTAAAAGGATGAAATTAATGATTTTAGACAGGAAAGGTGTCGAGCCCTGTAGACTTGAGGTACAAAGAAGATCTGTTGTTTCCAGGGAGGTT